TTTTTATTAATCTTTTTTTTCTTAAATAAAAAAATAAGTTGATTGAAAAATGCTAATACTTATGTGTACTTGTATCTGTCATGCAGAGCATCGTCTTGATGAAAGAAGGATGAGTGTAAATCTTCGACACTCGATGACAGTTGATGCAGAGAGAAAAAAAAAAAAAGAAAGAAATAATTATAGAGAAATGCCATCGGTGTCTTTGTTGATTTTCATTTTTACTGACATTTAATCCAAGTGAGAAGAAAGCATTCAAGTGATAATGATGAACGTTGATGAGCAAAAAGCAACAGTATCAAATAGAAAATTGAAGGTTTTATTTCATATTATTTATTTTTTTTATTTCGTTTATTTTTTGTCAATTAGAACTTTCATAAACGTATATTTCATCGATTTATTAGTCATTATATGATTAATAATAAAGATGAACAACAAATTAATCTTTTACATGAACATAATCAACAAAAAGAAGCACCTATTCGAAATGAAGATTTTGAAGTGTAGGTCAAAAAAGAAAATTTTATCCATTAAAAAAAAAAAGATGTGAATTTTTTTTGTCAGTACTGGTTTTGTGTTTGATCCACAAAACTATTTATATCATTATTGGCTTGCAATTATATCATTTGCTGTTGCCTATAATCTTTTATTGATACCAGCACGATATGCATTTAATGAATTGAATAATAATTTAAGAATTTTTTGGTTGTTATTAGATTATACTTTTGATATAATCTATTTAATTGATATTTTTATGCAATCGAGAACAGGTTATAAAAAAAAATAATCAAGAAATATTAAGAAGAAAAGAGAAATTTTTCACTTTTTTTTTTTAGGTTATTTTAGTCATGGTCTTTTTGTACGTAATCATTACGTTTTATCTCGTAATTATTTTACATCACGTCAATTTTATTTACGTGATCTTTTATCTATTATTCCAACAGATTTTTTATATTTAATTCCATATTTTCGTTTTATTTCTATAATACGTTGTAATCGATTATTACGTATTAATCGTCTATTTGAATTTCAAGAATTAACAGAATCACGTACAAGATTTCCTAATGCATTTAGAATTTTCTGTCTTACATGTTTGACTCTTACACTTATTCATTGGTAAAAATAAAACTTTAAATTTTTTTATTTTTATAATAAAAACAATAGAAAAATAATTGAATTTTATTTTAGGAATGCTTGTGCTTATTTTCTTATTTGTCAATATTTGGGTTTTGGTACTGATAGATGGGTATTACCAGCTACAGCTAAAAATGAAACAGTTGCAATGCTTTATACATATTGTTTTTATTGGTCAACACTTTTATTAAGTACTATCGGTGATGTTCCATTACCTGTACAAAGAACCGAATATGCATTTGTATTGTTTGATTTTATGATTGGTATGTTATCGATAAAACAGAAAAACAATATATTTAGAGTTCAATGATTTTTATGAAAAAATAGTTGTTAAACTATAGAAAATTTTCTTCATTGAAAAAGTATTATTCTTATTAGAATAGAGTGACACATTGTTAAAATTATTTGAAAAGAGAGTATTTTAAATTTTCATTTTTTTGATTTATTCAAATAGCGAATACGTTTTTTTTTTTCGTCTTGGATTTTTTCATAAGTAAGCAAAAAATAAGTGAAGGCGTTCAATAAAACTAGTTTAAAATGTTCACACTACCGGTCAGATGTAGTCTAAAACGTTTTGCACATCTGTCAGGACCAGTCGCCTTTTCGAGGAATGTTCAAAAAGTATTTATATTCGTCATGTTTAGTCCGTTTTTTCTGTTCATTGTGTGTCCAGACTCTCAACAGGCCTTCTAACGGCAAACTATGATTTAATGACAGACAGAGATATCATTTCAAACAGAGAAAATAGCAGAGTTTATATATTTCATCATATGCAGTGTATAACTTTTCAATTTTGTTTCGCTTCATATCAAAGAGTTTATTGAGTACCTCTCTGAAGAGTAAAGATTTGTACTTTTTTTTTATATTCAAAATACAAAATTCAATTGAAGCACAAAGACCTAGATGACAATACATTAGTATTTTGATTATTTCTCAACGGAAATTGCCTATGAATGTTCTATAAAATTTATTAGACTATAAAGTAAATTAGAAATAATTTAGTTTGAAAAAATTTGAATAACTTTATTCTATAATTTAATTTTAGTTTAGATTTCGAAAGTTTAACATTGAAATAAACGTCAATCATGATATGAACAAAATGAATTTTCTTTTTAATTTTAAATTATTTTTGTTTTTAATCCTCTTTTTTAATATAAAAAGAATTTTCCTAGATATTAACGATGAGAAAAATTTTTTTCAAAAAATAAAAACAATTCTAAATTAGTCGTATTCTATTTTATCTAACTAATTCTGTATTCTATGATACAACTTTTTATTCATAATAAAATCTGAAAAAACTCTGAGCAATATTGTACTAAATACTATCTTTGAATGTTTATTGACATGTAGAAGTTGATCACCTGATCATATAGTTCAATCGACTAGGTGATTGATAAGTAATATATTGTGTGCATAATTGAATCTTACCTTCTTCATTATACTTCTATCATTTGGACTGGTTCGGATTCGATCTGTAAATAAGACTATAATTTGTCCTATGCAGCGTTGTGAACGCTCTTCATTTTTTTTTCTTATTTCAAATCGTTTCTGAACAGACGTTATCGCATGGTTAGTCTTTTTTTTTCAAGAAGATTAAACATAACAAACAGAATCATGACCTCTGGTTAAGCAATCAGCTTATGAGCTGTGAACTACGAATGATTTCAGACTAGTCATCTACTAGAACTTTTTGAGAAAAAGACTAGACAAGATGTACCGTCACGACTAGTCCTTTTACCCATCCTTTGCTTGCTTGAAGAAACAATATAATATTTAGTACTAGTGTTAATAAACTTTCGGTTTTGAAACTCATATTCTCATCAATGATATTTAGGAATTCATAATTTTGTAGCGAAATAATCATCTGAGAAAATTCTAACTCAACATACTAAATTTAATTATATCTTTGATTTTATTTTTTTTGTTTTTGATAGGTATACTAATATTTGCAACTATTATTGGTAGTCTTGGTACAATGATATCATCACAAAGTCAATCAAGTAAAAAAAAAGAAAATATTTAAGAAAAATAAGTCTTTTGTTTTTTTTTTATATTTTCTTTCTAGGACAACAAGTTCGTGAAAAAATGGATGAAATAAAACGTTATATGAAATTTCGTTCAGTTAATCGAAAACTTGAACAAAAAGTTATTAAATGGCTTGATTATTTATATACAAATCGACAAGTATTAAATGAAGAAATGGTTTTAAATTCTGATTTAAGTGTCGAATTATGTAAAGATCTTGCTGTTAAAGTACATTTAGAATCATTACAACGAGTTACATTATTTCATGATTGTGAACCTAATTTACTTATTGAACTTGTAAAATTAAATTATTTTGATTTAAAATTTTTTTTTTGTTTATCTTTTTCTTTTTCAAAAGGTTACAAAATTAAAACCAACTTTTTTTGGTCCAGGAGATTATGTTTGTCGAAAAGGTGATATTGGAAAAGAAATGTATATTATTAAGCGTGGTCAATTAGGTGTCGTAAGTGATGATGGAAAAACAACATTTGTTGTACTTAAAGAAGGTTCAGTTTTTGGTGAAATATCTATTTTAAATATTCCTGGTATTTTTTTTTTTACAATTTCCTTTTGTTTTTTTTGAAATATCTACTAAAATTTAATTGTTAGGTTCAAAAAATGGAAATCGTCGTACAGCAAATGTTAAATCTTTAGGTTATTCGGATTTATATACATTAACAAAAGAAGATTTATGGCTTGTACTTGATAATTATCCTGAATCTTTATCAAAAATAATTGAAAAAGGTAAATCAATATTACGTAAAGATAATCTTCTTGATGACACATTAACTGATACAAAACGATATGTTGAACAAGAACAGTTATTAAGTATGCAAAATCGTATTAAAAAATTATTTGAAATAGAAAAATCATTAAATAATCGTTTAACAACATTTTTTGATACATATGTTGAATCAGTACGACAAGTTAAACAACAATTATCAAAATTAGAACATCAATTTGGAGCAAGAAAACAAAGTATAACTGTATCAATGAATGTACCAATGTCAGCACCAGTAGTTCCATTTTTTTTAAATCAATGGAAATCTAATACTGCAGCTAATTTACTTAAATTTAAAAGTGTACAATCTATGGAACTTGATGATTAATAAAGTTATATGATACTTTTCTTGACTTTCATATTGAATATTGTATTGTAAAAGTTTCTCTTTCCTAAAAAAAATTATAATAATAATAAACATATTAGTATTTCAATCGTAAAATTTAATCATTGGCTATCGGAAAGATTCACTTGGTCAAAATATTGTGATTCATCATTGGTGGTAAAATGAAGAAAAAGAGACAGAGGAAGATAGATAGTATATATATATATATGTACAAAGACTTGTTAATATGATAATCTTTTATCTTCAAATAATAAAGTCATACAAATATCTTTTGTTAAAATTCAATTCATATTTAAATTCTTTTCAGATATTCATCAATCCTTTTTTTATCAATATCATCGACAAAAAAAAAAATTTGTTTTTCATCTTCAATAATGCTTATTAGTGATATTGATAAATTAACTTATCGAGAATTACAACTTGAATTAAAATCTCGAAATTTAAAAGCAGCAGGTAAAACTGAAATACTTCGTGAACGTCTTCGACAAGCATTAATAAATAATAATGAAGATGAACTAATGTCAGATTATTTTGATGAATGTTCAATTTGTTTGGATAAATTATCATTTGATAAAAGAACAACAATAGTAACAACATGTTTACATCAATATCATCGTATTTGTCTTAAAAAATGGATTGAATCAAATAGTGAATTTTCACTTTGTTGTCCTCTTTGTCGATATTCATTAGCTAATGATCGACATATTAAAGAAGGCGGTGATAAAAAATTCATTGTGTAACAAAAAAACAAAAAATTTATAATAGATCTTTTCATATTTTCGATTTCTTAATATTCTTCATGTATTGATCTTTAAATCTTTGTTTCTTTGTTTTCTATCTACCGATGTTCAACTGCTGTTTTTTTTTTCTTCGCTATTCCTTGTTATTAAAAATAATAGATAATGTATACATATAGGTTTTTTTTTGTCTTTTTGGTTAATTATAAAACTGCATATGAAAGTATACGCAATGTGATCAATATGTTTTTTTTCTTTTTGTCTTTTCTGTAATATTAGGATAATTTTGTAAGGAAAATCAAATAAAGAAAAATGCATTTGTCACTATTTTGAATGATCATCTATTTTAGTATTTTAATAGACGAAGGAGAAAAATTTTCATATGTGATTTCAGTTGTTAAAAGAAAAGCAAACGATCGTTATACTTTTTCATACGCCATCTGTAATTTCGTGTTTTTTCATTCGTTAATGAAACTACTCAATATAATATGATGAGTAGAACGAAAAAAATAAACAAAATTATTGAAATACAAAAAGCGAATCTAGGCATAGTGAATGATTTATTCATTAAATATTCTAAAATTATTTCTTGAAGTTTATTTTTTATTTTTCTTCTTAGGAATAGATTAATATAAAATATCAGCATATTTTATGAATCAGTATTCAATTATAGAGCATCGTTTATATGTTACGGTAAGTATTTTATATTTATTTCTCGAAATTTTATTGATTGACATACTTTTTCTTTTTTAGTGACTTTCAACAATAAGGGGCTAAACCAAAGCCACACATCAATCATAATTCACAAGGCTCAATCGTTTGTCACATTTTATTGAACATCAACGTTTGTTTTATTTTTATGTTTATCCGTTTGAAAATCTTTGTAGTTTTTAATGTTTGAATGGAACTTTAGCGATAAAGGAAACGTTGGCATTGGTTTTTCTATTTTGATCCTTCCATTATTCAACCGCACTGGATAAGCTTTCCGTATGAAAAATGGATATTGTCGTTGTTTTTTTGTTTTAGATATTATTTTTTGGTTTTTTTGTTTAAATTCTTATCAAAAAAAAAAAAAGAAGTTTTATAGAATAAAAATACAATGCTGAAATCACAATCAACATCAATAACAAATCCAAAAGCAGATGGTGAACTTTGTCGAAATGCTTGTGGTTTTTATGGAAATCAAATATGGGATGGATTTTGTAGTAAATGTTATCGTGAAGTATATCAACAAGCAAAAGAAATTCAAGAAGGATATGATGGAAAACTAAGGTATAAAAAAAAAACACAAACAAAAAGTTCAACAAGATATTTATTCTTTAAATCTATACCGAATGAATTATATTTTCATGGTTTTTTATATTGTAAAGATTAAAATGTTTGTCATATCACTCTAAATCATCTTTTTTATGATGACATAAGTTAAATATTTGTCTCTGTTCTCTAGTAAAAATACTATAAAAGTTAGCATACTAAATGAAATGTTGTATTTTTTATCATCGACTTTGGATAGACTATTTTTTTAAAGTTCAGTTGACTCAAAAAGTTTCCTTCTGATGTGAAAAGATAAAGAAATTTACGTAGACTTTATTTATATGTTCCTTTCAAAATGAACATTTGTTTCTTTTCTTGCAGTATTAAAGGTACTCTATACTCGCAATAACATTATTTGCTCAACTGTAAAATGAGACACTTATGAAGAGATGTTTTTATTTAGTGAATTTTAGTTCAAAAATTTCTTCGTGGTAATAAGAAATGTAAAATTTCTCGTTGTATTCTTAAAACTTGGATTTAACAAAGGTATTCTTTTTATATCAACAGATAGAGATTTTTAAGCTCTTCATCATAAAGATTGAATTGTTTTTCTAACTTAGTAATGAGGTTGAGACCTTTTCCTTGAAAAAAAAAAAGACGCCAAAGATGAATAACTTAAAATGACGATATTCATCAGAAAAATTTACTATTATATCTCAAAAATAGATACTTTTTTTTTCTGTAACTTTGAAGCTAATAACAATATAAATATATATATTATTAACATTAAAATATTTAAAATAGAAATTATGTCTATCTACATTTTTGAACAAATTTGTTTTAATTTTTATATATATTACCATTTATTATCTCAATGTATTTGACTAGAAAAATTTTTCTTAATAAAGATGTCATAAGACTTAATTAGTCATTATTATTTTAGTAATTCAACTTCAGATGGTACACCATCACCCTCTGTTCCATCTTCTCCATCATTTTCAAATTTTCAAGAAAAACGTCGTTCTAATATGAATATGCGTAATCCTATTCGACAAATGGTCAATCGGGCTGGTAGCCTTCGATGTATATATAATAAACTTTCTTTTCTTTAAAAATTAACTTTATTTTTTCATAGCAACAAATAATTCAGTAATGTCATCATTAAGTCATGAAGAACATGCTTTAGAACATGAAGCTGCAAGCAAACATTTAGAAATAATGACAACAGATGATGCACGTCTTGATATTAAATCTCAAGTAAAAACTTTTGCAAATAATTTTCATAAAAAATGTGCAAATAAAAATATTCAACTTGATACACTTATACAAGATTATGGATCATTTAGAGAAACATTAAAAAA